CGGAGCGCTGCAGGCGGAGTCGGGGCCCCGCAGCCGGGTCGCGGCGCAGACCAGCCGGGCTCGGCCTGCGGGAAGAGGGACGAGCCGCGGAAGGCCGCAGGCGGTCCGATCGGGACCGGGGTGGGCGGTGGCTCCTGGCCGCGGCCGTTGCTTTGAGACGGGCGGCCTCTCTGAGGGGGTGTCTCGGCCCGTAGGGTCTGGGGTCCGTGCAGGCCTGCGGACGCCTCCGAATGAAGTCGGCCACCCGCGCCCTGACCGGGGCCCGAGGGCCGGTGAGCGCCGGGCTGGGTCGGGGGCGTGCGGAGGCCCTGAGGCTCAGGGTGGCCTCGGGACGGACCCAGAGCTGGCGTCTCCACCTTTGTACCTGGCGGTGTTCTGCCGGCCCCACGCACGCCTTTTCTTGTGTGGGAAATGCCTCCCGGAGGGGCCGTAGAGGTGCCCTGGCCGTTCCCGGCCTCTAGCCCCCTGGCCTGCAGTTCTTTTCAGCGATTTCTAGGGATTCGCTTACGTGAATTTCCTGGAAGGACCCGTGCTACCCGATACCTATTTACTCTGACAGATGGAAGGGAGACTGCTTGTTTCCTTGAACATTTGTTCGTTGGGCAGCCAGGCACCCTTACTGGTCTCGCCATTGATGAAATCCAAGTATTTCACTTGCTGGGAGTAGGCATTCTCCTTAGCGCCTCTCTGATGGCAGCAAATCGTGGTGTGACTGTTGGCCCATAAACTGGAACTTCCTCAAAATGTGAATCCTCGTGTTTAGTTTCCACAAAGGCAAGTTGTCACTTGTCTTTCATCAGCGTTTGACAGAGTCTGCAATGTTTAAATGATGCCTTTGTACGTCGGCGTGCCGCATGTCAGTTGTAGTGATCTCGCTATTCACGTTATGTGGACAGGCTTCTGGAAGGGGCTTCACTTGAAATGTGTTGATGCCAGAAAGCAGGATTAAATGTTTGACATATACCGCTTTACTATGATGTACTTTACTATGATATACTGTACAAGGTGATTTTGCTTATTTTTCAGAATTTTTACAGTTGAGAATTGCTATAAGAACATTGCAAACATTTAACTCGGTTTTGTCTATTTCTCAATATTTGCAGAGTGACCTTTATAGTGTTTTGTAATGAAAGGACTTGATTCAGGATCTGCTGTATACCCCACTCCTGTGCTGGGTGACCGGGTTCGGAGCAGCCAGCCAGACACAGGGTCCTGTCCCCGTGAATTTTATTGAGAGAGAAAACTTGAGTATCAGTCTTGTCACAGCCACTGACTCTGACCTGGGCAACACACTCGGTCTTACTTGAGTCTCACTTTCACACCTGAAAACGAATGTTGGACTCTTTGGCTCTTCTGGTCGCTAAAGTTCTAGGATCCAGTTCGGTTCATCAGGCATCTCATGTGCCCTCTGTGTCGTGGACTGCACTGGGCACTGGAAACAGACGTGGCCCTTGCTCCTCACAGAGTTTAGGCGTCCTGAGGGGAGACGTGTGCGGGGAGCTTAGCGCGATGTAGGCAGAGGCTTGTTTCCTTAGCCCAGCGTTGTGGAGCCATGGAGGGAGGGGTCTGCCTCGTGGAGGAAGTAACATGGGAACCGAGCAGAGATTCTCCACTGGGAGAAGAAGGGGTGTTGCGTGTAGATGAAGCTGGGAGAAGCAGAGGGCTCCTAGGGAAGGAAGTGCGTTGGTGAATGAAGTTGGAGACGAGTTGGTGTTCAGGTTACGTCTTCCCCTCGTGAGGTTCCCTCCCCTCCTCATCCTGAGTTTCCCCTACTTCAGCTGTTAGTTACTTTGTGCCTTGTCATATTTTAAATAGTGCTTTCGTTAACGTGATGACATTCTGTAACTTGGTGAGATCGGTCATTTGCATTGAACAGTCGATTTGCGCTGTGCTGCTAGATCGCATCTGCAGGATGGGTGGAGAGACTGACCAGCAGGTCGGGTGCTGGGGGAGTGGAGATCACGGCCTGTGCATACGGGGATGTAACAGTAATGAGAACTCGTAGGGAGGGCTTATCACTAAGTGCTCGGCCAGTCTGGAGCTTCACCCGCGTCGCCTCATTCATTCTTCATAACAGTGATGTAAGTGCTGGTGTTTTCCCTGTTCGCCAGCGGAGGAAATGAAAGCACATCTTTGAATGGAGAGTAGTTTTATAAGTGACGAGTTCACGACGACTTTTGCTGTTCTCTGTACCTCATAACTGCGGAGACTTGGGAGGGATGTTTGGCTTGGGTCTCAAGCTAAAATGAGCCTAATCGCAAACGGGATTTGATCTCCATCCTGTAGCGTTTCCATTTTTTCTCTGATTCACGTAGCTGCCAAGCGTGGTCTTTTGTAAGTGGAGAGCCAGCTTCCCAGCTGGGGAGGCATTGGTTACCTGGATTGTTTAATAAGATGTCCGTGTTGTCACTCCTGCTCTGTACACCAGTCCCCAGGAAGGCCATCAACACAGTCCCTTAGAACAGAGTAACGTGTAAAAAAACATTTATTATAGCTCTATCTTTTTATTTGTTGTCTACTTCATAGTAAGTGTAATTTTCTACAGTTTGTATTTGTTTCTTCTAATTTTAAAGCCAGTCGATGCAAAAATAGAAATATTTTGCTAAAATTTTCTTTGTTTATATGTAGATCACTGAATCTAGTCAGTTTTATAGAAATGGTTTTGAAATTGTTTGTAATCTCTTTATAACCACAGTTTTATTAGCTGTATAAACATAATCATTATATAGAACAGCCAAAAGGTGGAAGAAATGAACGAATAACCAAAATATGGTATATACATATGGTGGAACACTATTCAGCCTTAAAAAGGAAGGAAATTCAGACACATGTGACATGGATGAACCAAGAAGTTATTTTAAATGAAATAAACCAGACTCAAAAGGAGAAATATCGTGATTCCTCTCATATGGGTTACTTAGAGAAGTCAGACTCATACCGACAGAAAGTAAAATGGTGGCTTCCTGGGGTAGGCGCTGCGGTGGGGGCGGGGGTGCGTCATTGTTTAAAGGACACGGTTTCCTTTTGGAAAGATGAAACAGTTCTGGTGAGGGATGGTGGTGACAACTGTAAACAGTGTGAATGTACTTAATGCCACTGAATGGCCTGGCCTCTGAAACCGGCGTTTGACACTGGTAGTTATGCTGTATTAATGTCTCTAAGTTTAGTTTAAAAGACATAACTTTTTCTTTGAAACTTAGTATGCTTCTGAAGAAGTATGGTCGAAAGGAAACTCATTTTACTGCAGTTTGCTGTGGGAAAAAATAAAGATGCTTGATGTTGGTTATAGTTCAGTTAACTTTTTTTCTCTTTCCAAAATTAGGCCAAGAAAGTTTTCAGTTTTTATAAACTACTCTAGTTCAGAAGTGGTTTTATGGGTTTTTGTTAATCTCAAAATTCAGCGTGGTTTTGATGATCTTCTATAATGGAACAGACTAGATTTCACTTCCATGTTTATATGTAAGTCCTCGCTTTCCACCTTTCCAGCTCATCGTGTAGGAGGCATTCTGTCTTTAGTCATCTTTTTATGAAAGTGTAATTTACATAACGTAAAATTGACCGTTTTAAAGTAAACAATTCACTGGCATTTGGTACGTTGACAGTGTTGTGCAGCCACCACCTCTGTCTAGTTCCAGAACGTTTTTGTCACCCCGACAGCAGACCCTGTCATGCTCACTAAGTAGCTACCCACCACGCACCCTCTTGGTGACCACCACTCTGCTCTGTTTCCTTGGATGACTTGCCCGTGCCGGACGCCTTGTAGAAGTGGCATCGCACAATGTGTGGCCTTGCGTGTCTGGCTTCTTTCACTTAGGGTATGTTTTCTAGGTTCATTCACGTAACGTGTCAATACTTTTTTCCTTTTTATGATTGTATAATATTCCATTATTTGTATATACCACAATTTGTTTACCCATTCATCTCTTGATTCTTGAGTCACTTTTTATTAAATACGTAACCTAAATGTTCATTCATTCGTTCATTGAACATTTATGAAGTATCCATTATGTGTCACACAGTGCGTTGGGTCCCAAGGATGTAAAAATGGCCATGATTATCATGCGATGCCGCTGTACTGGCGGTATAAACCCAGTGTTTATACAACATAAAGGACAGAGTGGTTCCTTCAGCCTCACAGGGAGATCCCATTCACTTTGCAAGCAGATTTTTGATGATGGCAAAGGGAAGTGTATCTGATGCGGATCTCTGAATTTGAAATGAATGGGCTGGGTACTTGAGAGTGCCCTGTGGTCTACCGCAAGCCAGGAGTGATAATTCCAGACATTTATTTCTAAGCTGTTTGGTCCCTTGTTACGTATTACCTACAGGGGCCACCGTTGTCCTGAGCTAGTTCCTTGGTCTAAGAATAGACTAAAATGCAGATGAAAAGCAGTCTAGAGAAAAAGAGATCTTTAGAGACTTGGCTAGACTGTACCTATCACAGGACACATTGGTCTATGGCTGCGTTCCGGGTGGATCCAGCATGTACCGGCAGAACAGGTAGCCACAAACCACCACCTCGCGATTCTTCGAGGCCAGGCGTTAGCAGAACGCTCGCTCCGCTTCTGAGAGTAGATGCTCTGTGCTCGCCAGCGCCCCCTGTCAGCGCTCGCAGGCCGGCGAAAGTGACGGGCTTAGCTGCCTGTCCAGCAGTTGTCAAAAATTGATCGATGGGTGTGAGCTGGAGAACTGGATGAGCCGCGGGAGAGGCTGAGGCCGAGGCCGCGGCCGGGTCAGAGTTGCTCGAAGAGAGTGCTACTCAGTGGAAGTGCTTGTATTTTCCAGCCTACGACACAGCAGTCGCCTCAGGATGAGCAGGAGAAGCTCTTGGATGAAGCCATACAGGCCGTGAAGGTCCAGTCGTTCCAGATGAAGAGATGCCTGGTAAGGTGGCATGAGGGAGGCACAGCGCATGTCCCGAGGTCGTGCCCGCAGTGTTTTCCAAAGGCGCGTGGCATCTCGGTGTCCACCAGCGCCCGTCTGCGCGCCACTGCCCTCAACGCTGCGTGGAGCACTTCCAGCCGGGGGTCCGTGTGCCTGGGTTTATACTTGTGGTTTGGGGTTGTCTGTTTGCCACATCAGAACTTAAGTGCCAAGACAAGGGGCCCTGCCTTCTGCTTAGCAGTACTATTTCCGTACCGACATCCGACCTGAATTACCAGCCCAGTTGGTTCTCCATCTCCAGCCTGAGGGGTACTTAACATATGTGGGTGCTTAATAAATATTCATTGAGCGAATGGATTTAAGTGCTTTTAATTTGAATTATTTAGCTTTTTTTCTGTCTTGAAGCCTTTTCTTCCATCCCAAATAGATGTTTTTTATAGAAACTAGCCTAAAAATGATACTTACACCCATTTATATATTTTCATATTTTAAAAGCTAGGGTAGGAGATAATCTGTGTAGAAACTGTAGATTCTTAGGATTAAAATTTAAGAAATGGAACCAAATAGGCTGGTAATTCAAGTTACAGGCTGTAATGATGACGATGAGCGTCTCCTACCTCTGTAAAGTGTCCTTCGGTCTAAAGCTTAGTGATATGCTCTTCTAACCACCTGTGTTTACTGTATTGCTTTCCTTGCGAACAAATTTGCAAAAAAGGAAAAGTCTTAGGATGGAGGGAACAGGTGGGCATGGAGCTGCTGCTTTCTCTGTGAATGAAGAGTATTTCCTGCATCTAAAGGAATCGCCATTCCAGACATTTCTGAAGACTTTTAACCTATGACAGCCGTTGTCGGGATAGTATCTTGCTTTGAAACAAGGCAGTATGGCAGCTTTCCTGATGGCAGGTAGAATACGGATCGGTGGTGCTAGTCTCGCAGCCGCTGGGGGCTGTAACGATCAGAGCTGCTCCAGGAGGCTCGCGGTCCTAAGACGCGTGAGACTCGCTGAGCTCTGCGGCCCTGGCCGTGAGGCAGGCCCCTCTTTCTGTTCAGTAGAGAGAAGACAGGGTGAAACTAAACTTGATTTTCATGTGATTAAAATAATTGAAGTGCCGTATCCTTTTAAAACACTGTAACCGGTTTTTGATGGAAGAGTTTATATGATCAAGTTAAGTGTTTATTTAAAATAAGCGTTCTCATCAATTCTGTTGGTATTTCTGTAGGACAAAAACAAGCTTATGGACGCTCTGAAACATGCCTCCAACATGCTTGGGGAGCTCCGGACTTCCATGTTATCACCAAAGAGCTACTATGAGCTGTGTATCTTTTGAACGTTGAAGAATGAACTTTGCGATTATACTTTGCGATAAGGCCATATTTTGTTTGTTCATTATTAAGTTTTTCAGATTTATGTTATTCTTCATTGTCTTAACCGAATAGTATTCCTTTCCCATGCAAATGTGCTAAGCGAGAAAAAGACAACCTGAGTGTGAGAAACCCGTTTTTTCTGTGCTTAAACTTCTCGAAGTGGGTTGTCATACCTTGGTTTTCAGACCCTTCACGAAGGCCTTCAAGGCTGTCGGGCAGTTGGTTCTTTATGTTTCGATTCTGTCGGTGTGGGACCCCAAAGCGGAAGGGCATTCAGTGACCTGCCGTTCCCAAACCCTTCAGTTGACCAACGACGCGCGTTCCTTGTTTACTGCTTTGCGTCACCAACGTCCTTTAAAGCCCGTGAAGTACGAAACGGCCAGCTGAAATCTGGCTCCACCTAAATGCGCTCTCTCGAAGGACTAGCGTTCGGGACCTCTGCCCAGTAGGTCAATGACTGACCGGCCCCGAGTGTCACTCGGGCCGGCTTCGTTTGAGTCCTTAATCACACTGAAAAGATATGGCTATTTCTGACGAGCTGCACTACCTGGAGGTCTACCTGACGGACGAGTTTGCCAAGGGAAGAAAGGTGGCGGATCTCTATGAGCTGGTGCAGTACGCGGGGAACATCATCCCCAGGCTGTGAGTCCCCACGGCCCGTGCCTCGTGCCGTGCCATGTCCTTTAAAGCCAGCAGCTTCTGAAAACCAAATTTTAGGTCCTTTCTTAATAAACGGAGATAACTGTTTTGGGAGAGAATTGATTTTTTAAAAGTTTTATTAATTTTACTTTTTATCTAGATTATTGAGGAATTTTGGAAATAGAAGCAGATGAACATATTGTGTGTAATGTGTTGACTACTGTAAAAGTTAACATGACAGTTCTCTTCCCAATAATGGCGTAGAGGTGATGATTTTATACATATGTGGATATAACAGATACTTGTATACGTTCACATCAACCGGGGGTGTCTTGAGTGCTTGTATTTTAAATCAATTGGTACTTTCTTAATTGTGCAGGAGAGAACTCCGTTCCTGTCTCGTTTCTATAATACGCTTGCATTCAGAGTGCTTGCACGTGATCACATTCTTGACTTGACTAGTTTATTTCTAACGAGCGTTTCTTCATAATTCTTCTAGCTACCTGTTGATCACGGTTGGAGTTGTGTACGTCAAGTCATTCCCTCAGTCCAGGAAAGATATTTTGAAGGACTTGGTGGAGATGTGCCGGGGTGTTCAGCACCCCCTGCGAGGCCTCTTTCTGCGGAACTACCTTCTTCAGTGCACCAGAAACATTCTGCCCGACGAAGGCGAGCCCACAGAGTAAGTGCTGCTCTCTCTTGGCTTAGCCGCAATATGCTTTTGTCGTACGATACACAATAAGCATGGAAAAGTATATCGAAGAAAATAAACATCTGCGAATCAGTGTCTCCTACCCACGGCAGCCACTGGTAGCGTTTTGCTTCTCGATTTCCCCCGTGATGTGGAACTCGGGGTACGTGGTGTGCGCACATGTACCCTCACGAAAACGATGCCTCTGGATTATTAGAACCTGCTGTTTTCGTGTAACCTCATTGAGAACCTTTTTCCATTCCATTAACCATTCTTTGAAAATGGGACTTTTAAATGAGTTACTTTTTGAAACTTTGTTCACAATGAGATAATGAAGTGTGCTTAACTTTTTCCATGAGCTGTCCAGTTTTCATGTTGTTTCTTGAATGTCCATCGGATTTTATAATTTACGGACTGCTAGTTACCTTAGAATTTAAGCGATTTTGATGACCTGTGTACACATATTAGATATTAATTCCAAAACAAAAAAACGAAAGCCATTCAGAAAGAGCCCTGTCTTCTCTGTGACTAGCCTTCCAGCATCCAAGTTTATTGTGCTTTTATCCCACAAAAGTGGCAGATGGTCAGCCAAGTGGGTCTTCGGCCAACTGGGTGAACTGTATTCATGTGACAGCTTCCTTATTACATGAAGACCTTAATTTTTTTTTTTAAGTTTACTTATTTATTTCTAACATGTACAGTTCAGTAGTTTTTAGTATATCTGCATCAATTCCTTTTTAAAAGAAAAACATAATAAAATTTTACCATGCGTATGACAAAAATATTTAACTGGTATAGGAAAGATAAACATTAAGCAGCGCAGAGAATACTGTGAGGTTTTTTGCTCTATTCTGATTTGACTCTCAGTTTTGAGCATTTAATTAGGCAATCGGTAAAAGGTTTTGAAAACTGTTTAAGTTCCCCATCTTAGGAGATGTAAAATAAGCAGGAAATGCGTGGTCTCTCCCCTCCCTCACCAAGCTTTTACATTTTAATTGAAAACATGAACTATTTAACAATAAAATGTTGTAGTTACCAGTATGTCATGTCAAATTTTTTAGGCTTCTTGAATTAATGGAGTTGTTGTTATACGCGTCTGGTTGGCCCAGGGAAGGGAGTGCGGGAGAGTATTTTTCCCTTTAGACTCGTGTAGTGTCTTCTTCCTGGTGTTTTTTTCCTCTCGAGTTTGTTCCCCTTGAAACTGAACACTAAGCCAGCGAAGTTGAAAGTGTCTTTTCTAAAGCGTTGGTGTATTAAAGAGACAAGAAGGAAATGCCCACAGGAGAGGGCTCGTAGTGAGTCGGTCCTGTCACGTGAATACTGTGTATAAAGATTCCTAACTGTTTCATTGCAGCGAAGAAACAACTGGCGACGTGAGCGACTCCATGGATTTCGTACTACTCAACTTCGCGGAAATGAATAAGCTCTGGGTGCGAATGCAGCATCAGGGACACAGCCGAGACAGGGAGAAAAGGGAACGGGAGAGACAGGAGCTGAGGATTTTGGTGGGAACCAATCTGGTGCGCCTCAGTCAGCTGGAAGGCGTCAATGTGGAGCGTTACAAACAGGTTCGCTGCTTTTACTTGTTGCCTTTTCTTATGTCATAAGCTGTAAATTGAAATCTGATTTTTAAAATAGAAGTATTTTTGTTAAATGCTATTACGTTGGAAACCATTGACAATCAAAGAAAACTTAAACTGAAAGATGTTTTGAGTCTGCGTTTGTGGATTAGAAGATTGAATATTACCAATTTTCCTTAAATTGAGATTTACTGTATGTTGCAATAAATTTCCTCTGAAGCTACATAAGATAATGTGGTATTGGTGAAAAGGATAAACACATAAATAAATCTTGGAGGAGAATAAAGCAGGGTCGACAGACTTTTTCGTAAAGGACCAGATAGTAAATATTTCTTGGTTTTGCAAGCCATGTGGTCTGCAGCTACCAAACTCTGCAGATGTGGTGCCAGTGCATTCGGACAACGTGGAAGCGGTTTACAAACTGGGGCCTGAGCCAGTTTGCTGACCTCTGTAATAGACAATCTGGAATACACCCACGTATATATAATCAGTTATTTTCGATACAGGTGCAAAAGCAACCTCTTCGACAAATGGTTCTGGAACAGTTGGACATCTGTATGCAGACAAAACCCCTCAACTGTGACCCATCATCATACTGTAGAAAAACTAAAAAAAAAAAAAAGAGGATATAAAATCTAAATGTAAAATCTAAAACTATAAAACTTTGAGAAGAAAACAGAGGAAACTTTTACAACCTTGGATTAGACAGAGATTTCTTAGGACACAAAAAGCGCAAACCATAAAAGATAAGAAGTTAATGAAATGGACCTCATCCTAAATGATTTTTACTAAATAGAAAGCCAGAGTTTTTTATTTAAAAAGGCTTCTGTAAAAATTTAGAATTTAATCTAGAAATGAAGTATGGGTGAGAAAACTCCAAAATAACGATTTTTAAAATAATAGTTCAAATGGACTATTAGAAAAACGACTTGAAATTTTGAAAATAATCTTTTAACTCTTACTTCTTTTCCTCAGATTGTTTTGACGGGCATACTGGAGCAAGTCGTGAATTGTAGGGATGCTTTGGCTCAAGAATATCTCATGGAGTGTATCATTCAGGTTGATGATACATTTATTTTTTACAGAACATTTATTTTTTTTTAAATGACTCATTTTAATTTTCATTGTTTTGAGAAAAATCTTGATAGAGTAGAAAATAAGCTTTCCTGAATAAAGAATTCCTTTTTCCCACTAATAGCTTGATCTTTGTATTGATGTGTTTTTCTCCCCCAAATGTAGGAAAGCATGACCTCCAAGTTCTCTAGGTCTCATTAGTTTTAGTATAATTGTTAGTGGACATTGGTTAGTGGAATATTTCTTTCTGGACTTATGTTGAGAGAGGCTTAAAAGTACCGTATTTTAATTTAGTTGCATGAGATTAAAATGACTGTTTCCACAAATATGAACTTTAAGTACCATAAGTAAGTCCAGGATGTAATGTGAAATGCTTTTCCTTGTATCAATCAATTATTATTTGATTTTCAGGTTTTTCCTGATGAATTCCACCTTCAAACTCTGAATCCTTTTCTTCGGGCCTGTGCCGAGTTACACCAAAATGTAAATGTGAAAAACATAATCATCGCTTTAATTGATAGGTAAGAGCTTCCAGCACTGGAGGGCAAACATCCTGACTTCAGAATAACGGATTTAAGAAAAAAACATTTTCACGAATTACCCGTTTCTGTTACATCTCTATAATACTAATCATTTTAGTGTGATTACACTTTAGTCCTGTAAATGTGAGTATCTGCCAGCTGCTTGCCTAGCTTAGGCGTGAAGGAGTTTAGCATTGGATCGTGCAGGAGGCGTGGAAATAATGGTTAGTTTTAATCTAGGCATTTAATGAAAGCGATGTTGTTTAGAACAGTTTAAGATGTTATTTTAAAGAAAAACAAGTCAACTTTACTACTTTTGGAATCAGTTGTGTCTTAAACTCTACGGTAGTGAAGCTGCAGTCTCAAAGTAGTCTGTGTACTTTTTAGCTCTTAAAGATTATTTTTATAATCAGGGCTGTCGAATACACTTGTCACTTAAAATGCATTTCTGTCCATATCTGCTTAACTCGGCTTCAGAGAATTCGGCAGGTTCAGCCTGTTGACACTGTATTTACGTGTGGTATAGAGTGAGAATGCGGTGGAATAAGGCACCATTGGCAAAACTAGTTCAAAAGGAATTGCGGGAATCCTCAGCTACATTCCGTGTCCTTTTTAAAAACCTCGTTTAATGTTCTAGGAGCAACACACTTGTGGAAAATACAGAGAGGCACGAAGAGTAAATGTCATCTGTGATCCCGCTGCTCTGTATCTTTAAGGATTATTTTGTTTTTCAGATTAGCTTTATTCGCTCACCGTGAAGATGGACCTGGAATCCCAGCAGATATTAAGCTTTTTGATATATTTTCACAGCAGGTGGCTACGGTAATACAGGTACATATGGCTTTTCTCCTAAGTTCTCCAAACTTTGAAACTTTTCAGCTGGTAGATCCTTTTGTAACTGTTTAAAATAAACTCCGCGGTTTTCCGCGGGTTTCTCAACTTTGCAGTCCAGACAAGACATGCCTTCGGAGGACGTCGTGTCCTTACAGGTGTCTCTCATCAACCTCGCCATGAAGTGCTACCCGGACCGTGTGGACTATGTCGACAAAGTTCTAGAAACGACAGTGGAGATATTTAATAAGCTCAACCTTGAACAGTAAGTCAAAGTCGCATTTTTTGTACAAACCCTCATAAGGCACTTTTTTGTCCCAGATTCGTTTTTCTTTGTCAATTCCTTTCTGAAGTGTTAGCGTTTATCTTATTTTAAGCCTTTGTTGGGTTCACATGCTTGGTGCTAATCAGGACAGAGTGACAGCCAGTTACTTGCTGTGCACATCGATCAAGTAGTGGCACTTGTGGACCATTAGCAGTCTTCAGGGACTTTGGTGCTAATCAGGACAGAGTGACAGCCAGTTACTCGCTGTGCACATTGATCAAGTAGTGGCACTTGTGGACCAGACCATAAGCAGTCTTCAGGGGCCAGTGTCCCCAGTTCTGACCCCTTTGTATACGTGAATGTGTTTTTAAACAGGTAGGAAAACCGTTTACATCAAGCGGTATTTCCATAAGAAGTGGTTTACTACCGATGAGTAAGTCAAGAAAAATTAGGGGCATGTGTGTATTTAAGGTGCGAAAATGAAATTGGTTTAAAATACTTTTTTGTTTGATTTTGATACCATCAAGGAAACTATGAAAATGCTCTGATGCCTACTCAGCGCGCCCTGAGCTGTGCTTCGCTAGGCTTGTGGCACCCTCTAGTGGCCACTGTGGGCAGTCCCGCTCCCCTTCTCTCCCCCTCGCTGTCCCCGCCTCCCTGCTTCTGAACAGGGCTCAAGCCAGGCCCTTCAAACCGTCTCTCTCCTTTCACGGCTCTTCCAGCCATGGAGCGGTGTCAGGAAGCTTTCTTCTCCTTTATCTCTTTTCATCCCCTTTTTTCTTTTGGTCGTCCATTTTTTTGGTGAACTAAAAGACATTCCAGATCTTGAATTATAACAACGATGTGTCTGTAGCTTCCCCCATTAAGTTAGATTTAAAGTAAAATTAGGCAAAGTCAAGAATTGGAAATCCCGACCTTTCAAGTTGTCATAAATGCAGGACAGCCCTCGGCATCCACAGAATGCTCCTAGGAAGACGCCCCGCCTTAATTTAGCCTGCTGTTCCTTGTCACCAACATCCAGTGCGGAGGGAGTCGTTCGTGGTTTTTCCTGTCGTGTTGACTTGATAGTTTTGCATGGGTTTTTCTTCCCACTCACTTTCATCGTGAATATACTGTACTTCTTGGCCACCCTAGGAATCTAGCTATCCTTAAATACTTCCCCTAGACACATCTAATTCCAGACAGTCACTTTAACGCGGGCTTTGCAACCTGTTCTTGAGTCGGAGTCTATGATACCATTTTGGATCACTAGGGCATTGACAGATGAATAAATGTGTTTAAGATAGGCATCTTGGGAGGAGGCCATTGGAGTGTTTTGGGGTGATGTAACTCACTTGACCCATTTCCTTTACCGTATAAATGAAAATTTCCAAATCTTTACAAAACAAGTATATAGAAAGTTGATGTGAGTCATTACAGTGCTGCTTTTTTCTTTCCGTAGTATTGCTACCAGCAGCGCAGTTTCGAAGGAGCTCACCAGACTTTTGAAGATACCTGTTGACACGTACAACAATATTCTAACCGTCTTGAAACTGAAACATTTCCACCCGCTCTTTGAGTACTTTGACTATGAGTCTAGAAAGAGCATGAGTTGTTACGTGCTTAGTAACGTTCTGGATTATAACACGGAAATCGTCTCTCAAGACCAGGTGAGAGCACAGCAGCGGGCTAGCCTGGCGAGTCGCTTGTTTGTTATGTCAGTTACAGAATCGGAGGTGTGTAAGGGACAGGTCATAGAACAACTGTAACCCACCAGAAAGAGAATAACCTCTGTTTGCTGCATCTCTTTGCAGATTTTTGTCTGTGTGTCAATCCGCATATACTTTCTCATAAAAAAGGAGTTATATTGTTGACATTGATACTGTTTTGTAACTTCGCCTAACAAGAAACACTTCTGATAGTGGCTTCATATACCGATGATTTCACTCCAGCGGGTTTCTGTCCCCCGTGTCACAGGTGGATTCTATAATGAATTTGGTGTCCACGCTGATTCAGGACCAGCCAGACCAACCCGTAGAGGACCCTGATCCCGAGGACTTCGCCGACGAGCAGGGCCTTGTGGGCCGAGCCATTCATCTTCTGCGGTCGGAAGACCCTGACCAGCAGTACTTGGTACGAGTTCGCTCTTAGCAGACCCCGTTTGCTGGGTCTCCAGTAGCCTCACGTGGCTTGTGGTCTTAGAAGGGTTTGAAAGAATCGCAACGAATGAGAGATTCGGTGGCATCCGTGGCTTTTACTGTATCTACAGATCCGTAAGTGTGAACTTCTGGAGCTTAGGAGGAACAAGCTGGTCGCTCTGGTTTCTTTGGAAGACTTCTTCGAGACCGCAGAAGGCCTGTCATCCTTTAGTTGGGTGGCCAGCAATCATTTCCATGCTCATTTTTAGAACTGTTGCTTTTATTTATTTATTTTTTTACTATTTATTATTTACACCTACAGCACCTGGTCTTCCAGGTGGTCTCTCATTTAAGTACTAACCAGGCCTGACCCTGCTTAGCTTCCGAGATCAGACATCGGGCTTGTTCAGGGTGGCATGGCCGTAGACCGTAGACCGTGGACCGTGGCTCCACTGGGGTGTGAACCCAGGACCTTCTGTGTGTAAAGCAGACATGCTAACTGCTACACCATGGAACCACGTCCTAAACTGTGTTGCTTTTACAGAATCAGCAACCATCCTTATATTCAGTTGAGTTTGTGTGTCCGAGGCTTGCACATGTAGATCCTATGTGGTTGCCACATTGAAGATGTGTGAAAAGACTTGAAAATTCAGGTTGCCTTTTTCTTAACCCCGTTTCCTGGTGCCGTCAGATGCGGCCCTCCCTTCCTTTACCATGGTCCCCGGAACCTCTGGCGCGAACAGAACCTGTCGCCTGAGCGTTGGAGACGGCTAGCGGGGAATTTAATGAGAGGAGGCGCCGATGGCTGCCTCGTTCTTGCTGGGGCGAAGTGGTCCGGCTGTTGTTGGGCCCATGAGGCTAAGTGTCAGGCGCTGTGATGGACACCTGGGTTTGAGGGGGCTCCTGACTTCCTTCTGCAGGTCCCTTCCTGTCACAGTTGACACTCTTGTGCTGCTTCATAAGCAGTGTGAAAAGCAGCTGGTCCCTGGTGGCGCTGTGGGAGACTTTGACCTGTCTTAGTGACACTTTCTGGGCGCTGGCTTCTGCTTCTCACTCTGCACTGCGTGTCATCTGTGCATAGCGACTGGCTGATTGTTCCTATTTTTAACCGATTCCCTTATGTGTCTGTGTCACACACATGCTTAACGTGTGTTTTTGTTTTTTGTCGTGTAATGGATGCAGTGGTTAGCAAGTGTGCCTTCCACCTGCGGCCAGTGGTCACCTGTGTACAGGGACCTTTAAGGCACCACTCATTCATGCTGACTTTCCACAGGGGAGAACAGCCTCTCCTCTGCCGTATCAGAGAAGGTCTCAGAACCAGACTGTGGCACGTTGTGTCACACATACGTCAAAAGTAGTTCACGAGGTCTCGTTTTTCTGAAACGACACATCGTGGGTTTCACAATGGCTTTTTAAAAGTGTGTAGCTTTTTCTGTTACTTAAATGGTCTTAACCTCTTTTCTGAATTCAGAGGTACGTTATACCAGCAACATGCACATAGCTGGTTTTTTTGAAACTTGTTTTTGCACATAGCTGTCTTCGTGGCATAATAGCCAGGCAGCATTTCTGAGCTCGTCCCTCGTGTCAAGTAGCACGTCGCATGTGTTATTTGATCTTCCCAGCAAGCCTGGGGGAAAGTACACATCCCCTTTTTCAGATGAAACCTGCTAGCAGGGAAATAATTTGCCTGTGATCACACTAGTAGTGAGTGTTAGAATATCCTTTTAAGTATCAGTCTGTCTGTAGAGTTCTTTGGCAACACGGTGTGCTTCGTACCTGTGTCTGAGAAAATGTCTCCGTCCCTGACTGGCTGCGTAACCATGGGCAGGTGATACAGCCTCTCTGAACCTCAGGCCTCTGTCTCTAGGGTGACTGTAGCGACTTCGCGAGGTAAGAAGGCAGAGCGACCGCCTTACAGCCTCGCAGGTTGTGTGTGTCCTGAAGCTTCTAGCGACAGTGTGATCAGAGTCTCCCTTTAAGTTCACTAGTCATTAATCACAGTGCAGAAAAGATGAATTGTCCTGGTTTCTCTTTTTTTCCCGTCAGATTCTAAACACGGCACGGAAACATTTTGGAGCTGGCGGGAACCAGCGGATCCGCTTCACGCTGCCGCCCCTGGTGTTCGCGGCGTACCAGCTGGCGTTTCGCTACAAGGAGAACGCGAAAGTGGTGGGTTTGCTTTTGAGTATGTCACTTCTTTTTTCTCTTTTTCTCTCTCTGTGTGTTTTAGTTTATCGTTATATAAAATTCCAAACGTATGCAAAAGCAGTGGGGTAACAAAGCTCAGTTTCAGTCACGTGATCATCGCTCGCCCTGCGTTAAGTGTCCTCAGGGCCACGTGGGCGGGTTACGTACTAGCTGAGGGGTCACATGAGAACACTGGGAAATGAAAGGTGCGAACAGTTTGAATTTATGTCGGGAGTTTTTCCCGCGTTTGGAGGTCCGTTGTGAGACATTGGCAAGGTGATTACACGACTGACTGAGAACGCCTTAGTTCTTAAAGGACGATTGTGGTTCTCGAGGTCCTCACGGTCCAGCCTGCGGGGTTCGTGCAGCCCCCCGTGTGGAGGCTGTGGTACGTACCGGGCGAGGAGCAGGTCCCCTCCCTCTGTCCGGCGACGGCCCGGCAGGGCACATCGCCTCTCTCCGAAAGCCTGTGGTGGAGTCGAGTCACTTTTTCAGTCGAATACAGTTTTATGAGCTTATTCCTTTTCCCAACCGAATGGCTTCGGTCTTGAGTGGTGCTTTGGGCTTTGTAGAAAACCCCTCAGTCTGACTGCCGGAGAGTCGGGCGGTCAGGGGCACGCTGAGGAATGAACCTCAGTAAACCTGATTTTCAGCTAAGGCAGACACAGAGTTTATTCAGGGGACCTACCATCTGGGCAGAGCAGCTTGGGCCAGCCTTTCGTTCAGCCCCTTTCCGACGTCGTAAGGTAGACGTTTGTGAATGCAGCACTGGAAATGCAACCAGCACTTAATGTTCGGTGCCGTGGCCTGCACCACGGACTGTGTGCCCGGGTCGTTGCTCTGAGTCCTCAAGGCCAGTCTGACTGTTCTCTCTTAAAAAGGAAGAGAACTGATGGCTTTCGTAAGAAATCGGGGCGGTCAGACATGGGTACAACATTTAAACCTCACTAGTAAGCACAGCAGCGGACCTTTGGAGAAGTCGGACTGGCAGAGAGCAAGGACAGCTATGGAGCGGCAGTGGCAGTGGCGTGGTGAGAATGCATCCTCAGCCTAGTGATGGCGGGGACGTGAATTTCCAGTCTTTCTTGAAAACTCTGGCAGGATATAACTAGAGCCGTAGAAGGTCCAGTAATTGCACTGCTGAGAATTTATGCTAAGGAAGTAATTAGGGATTCAGTAAAGCTTTGTGTATATAGACCATTCATTATGGTGTTACAGATCTTTTCCAAAAGGGAAGAGTCAAGTAACTTATGCTCCGTCCAGTTTGCGGAATATTTTCTAGTGATTAAAATGACTTCGAATAACGTTAGCATCATGAGGAAAACGGTTACGACAAAGTAAGTAGAAAAGAAGTTGGATACACAGTGCATCAGCATGAGCCCAGTGTAGCTGCTCAGCAGCGCCCTTAAAACAGAGCAGACCGTGCGCAGACACCGCAGACACCGCAGATACCGCAGATACCGCAGCCCCGTTACCTTTGCAGAGCAGAAAGACAGGAAGACGCGAGCACCTGAATGTAGTCACTGATTATTGCCGGGCGTAGATAGATTTGGGGATGATTTTAACTGAAAAAAATGTTTGTGTGTATTTTCATTTTGTCCAATTTGGGAACGTGTTGCTTTTTGTTTTTTGGTTTTTTTAAATTTTTTAAACAATGTATTTAACAATATATTTAAAATACTAGCATTTCATCATATAACCAATATAATAATAATAATAATTATTTTTTAAATATTTTTGTGTTGCTTTCCTGATGAGAAAAAAAACAAATTCCTAATACTTAAAGATTGCAGAGGCAGTGACCTCAAATGGATGTTTCGAGAAAACATCCTGTTTGGTTTACCTGTGTGCTTCGTAAATGAGCCAGAGAAGAAGGATGACAACAGGAACCTGGGAGCTCAACTCGATCGCTCTCTGTTCTGTAGACGTTTCAGAGGAAATAAGTATGTGTGAGCAAGTTCATCTTGAACTTAAGGTAATTAAATAGTTTTTTTTTTGGTTTTAGGATGACAAATGGGAGAAGAAATGCCAGAAGATTTTTTCCTTTGCTCACCAGACAATCAGCGCTTTGATCAAAGCGGAGCTGGCAGAGTTACCCCTGAGGCTTTTCCTTCAGGGGGCTCTCGCCGCTGGAGAAATCGGTTTTGAGAATCATGAAACAGTAGCGTATGAATTTATGTCCCAGGTGATGACCCGTTCCCTTCAGGGTTGTGTAATCCGCTTTGCTGTGTTCGGTCCCCTGTCTGCGCCACGGTGGCAGTGCACATGGGCTTAACTTTCACTGGCTTCCTAAGTACCCCTCCCACTGTCACGTTGCCTGCTTCCGAGCAGGAAAATCCATCACTGCCTGGGCGGTCATGGGATTTAAGATTTTCGGGTGGATTACGGTAAAACTGTCACGGAATGGTTCCGTTCGGGGACCCTGGTTAAACGACAGGTAAGACAGGTGTCCTCGTGGCAGCTTGTCAGCATTGTCACTGTCAGCGGTGTCCGGCGCCTTCAGGAGGGCGCATGTTGTGCCCCGCGGGGCGCCCTGCGGGGTGGGCTCTGGTGGGGACTTCGGGAAGCTCCCAAGTTGGTGCTTGACACCCAGAGGCCCCTTCTGCTCCGTGTCCACCAGGCGTTTTCTCTGTACGAAGACGAGATCAGCGATTCCAAGGCGCAGCTGGCGGCCATCACCCTGATCATCGGCACGTTCGAGAGGATGAAGTGCTTCAGCGAGGAGAACCACGAGCCCCTGCGGACACAGTGCGCCCTGGCCGCGTCCAAGCTGCTCAAGAAGCCCGACCAGGGCCGGGCCGTGAGCACCTGCGCCCACCTCTTCTGGCCCGTCAGGAACACGGACAGAAACGGCGAGGAGGTAGGTGGCCCGGGGGTCCGAGCAGGGGCGTCCGCGGGGGCTTGTGCCCTGGAGGCATTGGAGCCCTCGGCAGCCGGACGGGGAGAACTGCTTCGTTCTGTTAAATGAAAAGGACAGGAACACATAGTGACGGCTCCGCTCCAAGGCTGTCATGACATGACGAGTGTACCTCGCCGCCTTTAAAGGTACACGTGACGCAAGCGCACCTTGGTTTTCGCGCTTCGCAGACGCTGCGTTTTTTACAAATCAAAGGTTTGTGGCCACTCTGCACTAAGCGGATCTGTCGGCACCATTTTTCCCATAGCATTTGTCCACTTCATGTATCTCACATTTTGGTAGTTCTCGCAATATTTCCAGCTTTTTTATCATGGTTGTGCTGGTCATGGTCTGTGATCAGTGATCTGTGACGTTACTGTTGAAATGGCCTTGGGGTGCCGCAGACCATGCCTGCGTAGCGTGAACTAAATCGGTGGGTGCTGTGTGTGTTCTGACTGCTCCGCCGACTGGCCGTTCCCCGTCTCTCCTCTCCTGGGTCCTCCCTGGTGCCTGGGACAATGACAGTGCTGAAATCAGGCCAGAGAATAACACTGCGGCAGCCTCCAGGTGTTCGAGTGACAGGAAGAG